TAGGCTAAAAATAAAGTCTTAAGGCCGCCCCTACTGACAGAACAGAACCCCCTCCTTGGCCAAGACAGCCTAGGAAAAACCTTAAAAACGAAATTCCTAGCCATGAGAGAAAGGAGATTGGACACATCTGGTTATACCCCCTCTCTTTTGGAGTTTATATATAACAATGAACTGATATGAATGTTAAAATAGAGACCGTAAGATGGACAAAACACACTCTTTGTGGCAATAAGATACCAGATTACAAACAGGACTAAGGCCAGGCCAGGCAAAGGTGAAGTCACACTGTAGGCAATCCATCTTGCTGCACGGCATCCTCAACATAAAACATTTCTTTTTTTTTCCTTTGAGATGGAGTCTTGCTTTGTCACCCAGGCTGAAGTGCTGTGGCACAATCTCAGCTCACTGCAACCTCTGCCTCCTGGGTCAAGCAGTGCTTCTGGTCAGCCTCCAGAGTAGCTGAGATTACAGATGTGCACCACCACGCCCGGCTAATTTTTGTAATTTTAGCAGGGACGGGATTTTGCCATGTTGGTCAGGTTGGTCTGGAACTCCTGTAATTTCTTTAAAATGTTTTACAGAGTTTAGTTTTGCTGTTAACAGGGACCAGGCAGAAAAGTGAAGCTGTGAAACCAGCAAGTATCACATGCAGCATAACACAGTCCCTTCGCATCGATCACCAGGAGCTCACAAAAGTGCATGACGAAGTCTAAGTCCATTATAGGAAATGAAGAAGCTTTATTTTTTTCTGCACACCTGATTAGCGCTGTGTAAAAGTGTGACTCCACACATCTGGAAATGCTTGGCCCAGAGCCTGGCATCTATTAAGAATCAATAAATGGTAGCTATTGTTACTATTATTATTATGTTCTCTCCTGTCATACTGATACCCCCTGGGGATCACGCATTCTTTCTCTTGAACCTCTTTAAGTTTGATTTAAAATGAGAATGAAACGCCTACTCTGTGAGTGACTGATTAGACTCTACAAAGTCAAGTCATTTGTATGTTAAGGAAAAATATCCAAAACTGGAAGGGTGGGGGGGGGGCGGGGAGGAGAGAAGAAACAAAAAAGATGACAGTGTGACCTTTCAATGTCATGCCAGAGCATTTTCTAATTGGCTATTTCTTTCCTCACAGTAATATACTTTGTTTAATTTATTATTCATCATCAAGTCAGGCCCAGATGGTCTCCTCCCAAGTCTGCAAAGATAAATGTTAACTTTTAGAAAATTGAAGTGAAATCTTTTTTTTTTTTTTTTTTTTTTTTTTGAGATGGAGTCTTGCTCTGCTGCCCAGGCTGGAGTGCAGTGGTGCAATCATAGCTCACTGCAACCTCCACCTCCTGGGTTCAAGAGATTCTCCTGCCTCAGCATTCTGAGTAGCTAGGATTATAGGCACCTGCCACCATGTATGGCTAATTTTTGTATTTTTAGTAGAGACATGGTTTCACCATATTGGCCAGGCTGGTCTTGAACGCCTGACCTCAGGTCATCTGCCCACCTCGGCCTCCTAAAGTGTTGGGATTACAAGCGTGAGCCAACATGCCTAGCCAAAATCATTTTTTTCTTCATTCTAGTAGATAAGATAACCCCAAAGCTTGTGATTCTATTGTTCTGCTCTCAGCCAGTTTTATATCTAACTGAGCAAAGTTATTTCAGCATTTCTTTTTCTACTGACTACACAAACATCAGTTTCTCAAACCTTCTGTGGAATCAGTCATTCATCTTGCTGCTTTTCTCATTAATGAGCTAAGGAAATCTTTGGCCAATGCTCATTATCTGTTTTATGATAATTATGTTTTTAACCATTTGTGAATTGTACTTTAACATAACTCTTTAGGGGTACATTCTGTAAACCCAAAATAAAATTCTAAGCCTCCTAGCCATGTGAATGGGCCCCTCCTCTCAGCCAAGGGCATTCCAAAATTAACCAGAAAAACTGTTTCAGGCCGTGATGAGAAGGGAGGGTTGGACATGATGTCTCATTATATCCCCTTCCTTTTGGAATTCAGGAAAAGCCAACCAGCATTAACATCAACACAGACCTTAAGTCTGGTAAGAAACATTTACAATCTAGTCTCTCTGAAGCCTGCAACCTGGAGGCTACAGCTGCATGATAAAACCTTAGTCTTCACAACCCCTTACGTAACCCAGACATTCCTTTCTATTGATAACAGCTCTTTCAACCAATTACCAATCGGAAAATTGTAAAATCGACCTATGACCTGGAAGCACCCTACCCCCATCCCAGTTCAAGTTGTCCTGCCTTTCCAGATTGAACCAATATGAATCTCACGTGTAGTTACTGATGTCTTATATCTTCCTAAAATGTATAAAAGCAAGCTGTACTCCATCCATCTTGGGCCCATGTCATCAGAACCTTCTGAGTCTATGTCATTGGCATATCCTTAACCTTGGCAAAATAAACTTTCTGATTGAGAGCTGTCTCAAATACTTTTGGGTTACAAGCCTCAGCTCCTGTCTTCTTCACATCTTCCAACATGTTGTTATTGATTTGTTATTTGTGTAATTCCTTGTTCAATGTTTATCTCCCCACCCCACCCTCTGCTATAAGCTAAGCTCCCTGAAGTCATGTCTGTCTTATACCTCCATGTGTCTCTAGTGACCAACACTTAGTGGACACTCAATATATGTTTCAAGAAAAGCCTAAGATGAAATATGGAGCCAAGACAAGGAAGTCATAATGTGAACAGTGGAAAAATGTGTGTGTGGTCCAAACGATACATCTCTTTCTTGCTAAACCAGTTTGATTTTTATTTTCTTTCACTTGAAGCTGAAAAAGTCCTGAATGAGATAACTCAGAAATGAGACAATTTATCTTAAAGAAATAATAGCAGCCCAATTGCCACTTCTCCCAAAGTTATAGTGCCAGGTTGAGCTATTTCTTCTGACTCTTTGACTCAGTTAACTGTGAAATGGTTGCCAAGGGGGCCTACCCAGCCTCTTTGTTGGTAATATTGGAGGATAATATATATAGCCACAGGAAGGGAGCAAAATATAAACTTCAGGACGGAGGAGACATTGCAGCTGACTATGAAAACAACACCCCAGTACATCTGTGATCTGTAGCCAGCCTTGCTAAGGACTCCCAAGGAAGTGGCAGCTTCTCAGGCATAATCTGACACTGGGTTCCTCATATCTTTTGAGTGAACTGTACAAGCCACTTTAGTGTGCATGGAGCCAGTCATGAAACTGTCTTTGCAAAAATTATAACAGTGAGAAAATGATGGCAGTGAAAGAGATCTGCTCTAACCAACCCCCATCTTGCCTTTAATCTCCGAACTGCCCTTACTCATTCCTGGGCTTGGGCCAAGTTAACTTCGGACAAATTTAGTGTATATTTTAAACGATAATAGCCCTTGCCCAAAACTAAGCCACCTTTGTAAAGCTAATGGAAGACCACCAGGTTAGGAGGATGAGAGAAGCCTGAATTCTGCTAAGGTGCAGACATAAAGGATTACCCACCATTATTCCGGAGATCACAAGATTGCAATTTCCCCAATTACTCCTGCAGATAACATCACTGTTGTAGAGCCTAAGATTGGCCTTTTGAGATGTCTCTTCAGGTGGATCACATTTCTGAAAACCAGTGGCTCTACCCAGACCAGGCCACCAACCTAACTTAGAAAGAAATTTAGTGTATATTTTAAATGATATCAGGCCTTCTCCAAAACTAAACTGCCTCTGTAAAACTAATGAAAGACCACCAAATTAGAAGAACAAAAGGAGCCTAAATTCTGCCAAGATACAGACACAGATTATTACTAGCCTTTATTCCAGAGGTCACAACATTTCCAACTTCCCCAATTCCTCCTGCAGATAACATCACCATTGTAGAACCCAAGATTGGCCTTTTGAGATGTCTTTTTGGGCTTTTGCCTTTCTCATTACCAGACTGCCCCACCTGGACTTGCCAACGAGTCCTGTGGCCCCACCCAGAAGTGGGCTCAGCCCAATAGGACCACTTTTCACACCCCTACTACTGCATCCCCAACCAATCAGTAGCATCCATTCCCAGCCACTCCACTCCTTGCCAAACTATCTTTGAAAAACCATAGCTTCCAAATTTTCAGGAAGGCTGATTTGAGTCATAGTAAAACTCTGTTCTCCCATTTAGCTGGCTCTATGTGTGTAAAACTCTTTCCCATTGCAATTCTCCTGTCTTGATAAATTGGTTCTGCCTGGGCAACAGGTACAAAGAAGCCATTGGGCAGTTACAGTCACATCATATAGTTCAGCAAAGTGGGGCAGATGTAATAAAACAGGGAGTGGTGGGGACGGTGACAAATAGAAAATCCATGTCCTGTCTAAAGGGGATATTAACTATTCAACTGTTCTCAATTGTTGCCTTCTAGCCCCAGATTTTTAAAATACTGGAACTAATTCCCTCCCTCCGTCCCTTCCTTTCCTCTTGCTTTCTTTTCTTCTTCTTTCTTTTCTTCCTTCCTTCTTTTTTTTCTCTCTCTCTCTCTCTCTTTCTTCCTTTTTCTTTCTGTCTCTTTTGTCTCACTTTGTCATCCAGGCTGGAATGCAGTGGTTCAATCTCTGACCACCTTACTCACTGCAACCTCTACCTCCCAGGTTCAAGCAATCCTCCCATCTCAGCCTCCTGAGTAGCTAGGACTACAGGGATACACCACCATGCCCAGCTAATTTCTCGTGGTTTTAGTAGAGATGGGGCTTCACCATGTTGCCCAGGCTGGTCTTAAACTCCTGAGCTCAAGCAATACACTCTGCCTCAGCCTCCCAGAGTGCCGAGGTGTGAGCCACGTGTGTGAGCCACAACGCCTGGCATCTTTCTTTTTTGTTTTTAGTGCAAGGACCAAATAAAACATATCTGCAAGGCAGAGCCAATCAACCAGACATCACTTTGAGACTATGCTTTAGTATTTCAATTTTTGGAGAAAAAGGAAAACATAGTTGACCCTGTGTTTGATGGTGCAAGCTATAGGTAGCTTTCAAAACAAAATCTTACTTACCAGCCATCAACACTGGCTTTCTGCAGTTCAGAAATCCCAAAGGACAAAGATCCCATGAAGTCATTCCTGCTGGTCAAATCCCAATCCCAAATCTCTACTGACAGTCTTCTGTCTTTGTCTGATTCTTTCAGCTGACTGCATAAGGAAAAAAAAAAAGACGTCAGTAGAGGTTGTAGTAATTTCTCAAGCAGAAGAAATGTACAAGAGGACAAGACCTGGAGGTAGAAATCTTTAAAGATTACAAGCTGCTGGAAGAAACATATTCAGTTTCCATCCCAGGCTAGCTCTCCAGGGAGTGAGAGCTTTTTCCTTTTGACAGCCTATGGCTTAAACAGTCAGGAAGCCCTAGACTGGCTATGACAAGAACAGTTCTAACTACTTTTGTTATCTTATGTCTTAATAGGGTTCCGAGTATTCAGGAATTTCTACTGTCTATAAGAATTCCTATTCAGGAATTCCTACTGTCTATAATAGGGATATCAATTGCGTAATTGGATGTCTATGTGTGTATATCTGCATACATGAGGGTTGAGATGAGGCTGAGGAAATGTATGGAGAAAAATCCTGGTGTCTCTCTGGGGAAATTGTCTGTTCTGAGACATGTCCTTGATTGAGACTGAGAAGGGGCCCAGTTTTGTCCTGAGAGAGGGAAGAGGAGACAGGGCAATCACAAGGAACTGTGCTTCTAGCTGGTGGCTTAAAAAGTATGACCTCTAAAGTCAGACTGCCTGAAGCTGAATCCCACTCCACTCCGAAGAATATGGGACTTCGGGCACATTCCTTAGCCTCTATAAGCCCTATTGCTACATTGGGAATAAAAAGAGCTGATGAAGTTAGATCGCTTAACCCAGTGTTTGTTACACATCATATATGCTCAGTGAATTGGCTGTTATAACTAACTCCTGATGCCTAGATGTATGAGAAAGAGATCCCTAGATTCCTGGAGCCCTGGCCAGGGGAGACCCTCAAGGGAGGCTGGTAGAGATGTCCCAGCAGGCTGCAGGCCAAGCATCATCCACAAACCTAGCTCTAGAGAGGCTGTCCCCACACCTCAGAGGTTATGTCCCCCTGTTTGCTGAGTCCCATCATTTCTCCCACCACTTGCCTTCACTTAGCAACACATCACACCATTTCCTATCCTACCCACTCCCCCACACCACAGGCATTCTCATCTCTATTAAAAAAAATAGCTCTAATTTTTTCTTGGCTCGTAATACAAAAATGCAGATGGAAGAGAAGGGAGGGAAAGAGAGGAAGGAGGGAGGGAGAAGACAGAGAAGGAGGGAGGTAGGGAAGGAAGGAAACCAAAGCTAAGGGAGGAGGAACTCCCTGATCTCAGGTGGCTCATAACCCAACCTCCACCACCCATGCTCACTGCAGTCATTTTTACTTACAATCTAAATGTCTCATTCCACTCGGGGTTGAGGGAGCATTTGATGGTTTTGGTCTTCTGTTTGCTCTCACTTTTAGGATCAGGAATCAGTTTCAGTTTTACGTAGGGATCTGACAAGCCATTGGGGTCCATAGGTACAAGGTTTTTAGCATCTCTTACTGAAAAGGAAAAAGCAGTTTGAACATTAATACTGTCCAACACGTTTAAGCATCAAGCAGTGATGGCTGCAGAACTTGTGAAAGGTTCTTTGGTACCACACTTGTTTAGTGAGAAATTTAATATTATTAACGTCCATAGCTGAAGCAGCATACAAAATGAGATGAGCTGATAAGATGTCAACTCTGTTGGTTAAAAGTAGATTTCTGGCTGGGTGCGGTGGCTCACGCCTGTAATCCCAGCACTTTGGGAGGCTGAGGCGGGGGGATCATAAGGTCAAAAGTTCAAGACCAGCCTGGCCAACATGGTAAAACCCTGTCTCTAAAAAATAATAATAATAATAACAAAGAAAAAAAAGTGGATTTCTGACTTTCACACTGCTCTTCCCATACCAAGTTTAACTGTAAGTTTTCTAAGCTTGTTTTCCACAAAGCCCACAGCAAAGGCTGGCTTCTTTCATTTAGCATAATGTTTTCAAAGTTCACCACACTAAAGCATGAATCAGCACTTCATTTTCTTTTTGCATGACTGAATAATATTCCATCATATAGATAGTCCACATTTTGTTTATCCATTCAACAGTTGATCCACAGTTGGGCTGTTCCCACTTTTTGGCTGTTGCAAATAGTGCTGCTATAAAAATTTGTGTACACCGACACAAATTTTCAATATGTGACAAAGGTCACATATTGTATGATTCTATTTACGTGAAACATCCAAAACAGGTAAATCTATAGAGACAGAAAGCAGACTACTATTAATAGTTGTCAGGGGCTGGAGGGAAAGAGAAATGGGGGGTGACTGCTTAATGAGTACAAGGTCTCTTTTAGAGGTGATGAAAAGTTCTGAGAACTAGATGGAGATGGTGGTTGGCTAACACTGAATATTTGATAAATGTCACTGAATGGTACATTTAAAAATGGTTAATGGTTAATTTTATGTGATGTTAATTTTACCTCCACTCAAAAAGAAAAAGCTAGAAAAGAAAGGAAGAATTACTCTCTAAACCAAGGTGCACGTATTATCCATGTATTGCCCATATCCAGCACCCAGACAGCCCATAGAGAAAAGGCTGGAAAAATGTTGGTAGCATTACAGCTAGGCTCCACCCTCAGTCCAGAACACCCAGGTAAAGGAGGCTATAAGATGAACTTAGAGGAGAAAAGGAGGCAGGGAATCAGCAGTGAAGATGCAACTGGCCACAGAAAGGATGAGGGAGACTAAATCATCAGCCTGAAGAAACAGGAAGCAACTAATTAGGAATCAATTCTGAAACCAGTAATGCAGGTAGTCAGTAGAAGTAGACAAGAAAACGGGAGTTGTACAGCTCTTAAGGATACAATGTCAATCATCTCACTTACAATAGAACAATCCACAATAATATATTCAATCCAATTGACTTTAACTATCTGCTAAAAGGTGAATACATAATGACTCCTATGAAGAATGCAAAGATGGTTCAACCTTGAGAAATCTATTTTCAATATATTCATTATATTTATAGATTAAAGAAGAAAACTGTAAGACCATTGCAGTTATCTAGAAACAGCAGAGAACTTTCTTAACAGGATAAAGGCTATCTGAAATAACAGCACTATGGTTCATGATAAATACAATTCCATTAAAGACAGGAATAAGACAAAGATACCCGTTACCACAGCCCTTCTTCAACACTTTTTTTTCTTGTGTTCCTTAAGTGCAGTAAGAAATAAAGAGTTACCCTCTAAACCAAGATGAACCTATTATCCATGTATCATCCATAACCCACACCCAGACAGCCCACAGGGAAAAGACTGGAAAAGTATCCACAGCATAAATAAAACCAGAAATTTTGTAAATTCAAGATGACAAGAAAAACAGATTAGGAGAAAGAATATGGGAAAGTAGGAGGTAAAGCACCCCCTTACTTCCTGCAACATTTGCTCACCACCAATCATAGTCATCTCCCATGGTCATGCTCTGGAGCCTATTATCCCAGAAATTATACCACTTTCTCAATCTCAGTTTCAAGTACCCTACTATCTTACACCAATTTCTACTTTTCCAGTTCATTAGCTCTATTATTCTGTGCAATAAATCTTCCCCTATTCATCAGTCCATTCTCTACCAATCAGTCCCTTGTACCCAACACATTCTCTCGATCTCCCTATTCCCTCTTGCTTTTACTCCATTCATCCCCAGATTAGATTTTATGATGCATTTTAACTGCTCCCTTGGAAAGACCCTCAACTCCCTTGCCTCTCTTTCTTTCTATTTTACTTATCCCACAATACCCCAGCCCTACTTAAATTCAAATGTCTATCCTTTCTCACTCTGTCCTTTTTCTACCCTCAAACAGCTGACCATTGCTGGAAAAAAAATAAAATAAAATAAGACTGACTTGCCTAAAACCATACAGCTAGTAAGGGGTTGAGACCAAATAAATGAGATGGAAGAAACACTGAATTGGCTACCAGGATGCAAGTTGTAACTTATTCTGTGCTGACATTTTTTTCAGCACTCCAGCAATATTGGCACTGTCTTCTGTTTTTCCACAGGCTGAATTCATCTTCCATCTCAGCTTGCAAGCTGCATCTCATTCTTACACCAAAAGCAAGATTTTGGCCTTGATCAGTTAAGTTCAACAAGCAAGTCCCTACTAAGTGCTAAACATTCTGCTAGGCCCTGGGGATAGAAGGGACAAAATAAAATCTTATCCCCAAGACAGGCCACGTAGTGTCATGGATACAGGGCTACAAGATGCCAGGGTCTGCATCTTATCAAGTAGTTACTTCACACATTTGAACCTCAATTTCTTGATCAATAAAATAGGTTGTTACAAGAATAAAAGTGGATAAAGAATATTCATATTTAGCCCAGAACCTGGAACTCAGAAAATACTCAATATGTGTTAACTACTATATATTACTGCTAGTTCACTATTATTCTTATTCATATTCAGTGCCCTCTTTCACTACATTTGTCGTGTGTCTGTGTGTGTGTGTGTGTGTGTGTGTGTGTGTGTGTGTGACAGTCTCACTCTGTCACCCAGGCTGGAGTGCAGTGGCATGATCATGGCTCACTGCAGCCTCAACCTCCCAGACTCAAGTGATCCTCCCACCTCAGCCTCCCAAGTAGCTGAAACTACAGGTGCTTCCCAACCCATGCCTACCTAATTTTTTAAAAAAAAATTTTTTTTGTAGAAGTGGGGGTCTCTCTATGTTGCCCAGGCTGATTTCAAACTCCTGGATGGGAATGATCCTCCAGCCTTGGCCTCCCAAAGTGCTGGGTTTACAGGTGTGAGCCATCATGCCTTGCCTATTTGTCTATTTTTATGATGAAGACTTAACCATTTCCAAATGGACTGACATCAGAGGGAACCACTTGTGGTTTTCTTCTTAACAATACATTTGATGTTTACTTGAACCCTTCCACAGGAGAGCTTCTTAAACCTTAGTGTGCATAAAAACTACTCAGAGGGCTCATGAGACACAGATCTATGGCACCCACCCTCACAGATAGATTCTGATTCCCTAAGTCTGACAGTGAGACCTGTCCATATGCTTTTCTAACACGTTTCCATGTGATGCTGATGCTGCCAGTTGATAAGACACACATTAAGTAACCTTGTTCTAGAGAATAATAATTTCTTAAAATACTCATGCATTTTCCCCATAGAATATAATCTCTAACTGTTACTTTCATTTCTCAAGCCTTCCAAGGAAAATAACATGTACTATTATTTATATATTGTTTCTAGGCTGCGATCTTGGAGTGACACATCTATCACACAGTGAGCTGCACACACAGAGGATCGAGACACTCAGAAGCGCCAGAAGCTTGTCTGTCTGGTTGATTGGCAAAACAAAGGCAAGAGGAAACAGCTCATCTTTCTTCTCCCTGGCAAGGCTACTCCCCGTCCTCCGCCCCAGTCTTATTAACTGACACCACAAGGACAGTCACTGGCAAAAGATCTTCTATTGTAAGTTTAAGGAATTTACAGCTCTTTTAGAGCGCTCTTTGCTAGACAAGGGTGTTGTATTTTGAAGCTGTCAATTTCAAGACTCGTGGTTTAAGAGTAATTTTTTTTTTTTTTTAAGACATGGTCTCGCTGGAGTGCAGTGGCGCAATCACAGCTCACTGCAGCCTTGATCTTGCGGGCTCGAGCGATGCTACCACCTCAGTCCCCTGAATAGCTGGGACTACAGGCATGTGCCACTACACGCCGCTAACTTTTAAAAAAATTTTGTAGAAATGGAGTCTCACTCTATTACCCACACTGGTCTCAAACTTCTGGCCATGAACAATCCTCCAGCTTTGGCCTCCCAAAGTGCTGGGATTACAGGTGGGAGCCACTGTGTGCAGCCAATAACGACCTTTTCTTGGGCATCTAAGCCTCACAGAGCTAAACATTCCTCACTGAGGCATGACTCCACCTCTCCCCTCACCCTCATAGGCCCTTTCTTCTACTTTTGTCCTTTTGAGCTTATTCTCCACCAAAGGGGCCAAAACATTCCGTGGAACGGAATGTCGTGGAATGGATCCTGAGACTGCTGGCATCCACATCTCCAAGAGCTCTGGCTACTAAAACACTCTATTACGAGCAGTTGACAGTAGCTGCAGGCTAAGATCCAAAGGGCTGTCCCTCCTGAAGCATCTCAAAGTCAAGTCGTGTTTCCCAGCAGCAAGAGAGCCGCATATGTATCACGGAAGCAAATCTCTCTAGACCACACTTGGCGAGACTGACTTTGATTTTTCTTGATAAATGTTTCTTTACTATCTTTGTTGAAACCCAGCCAGCCCAGATGGTACCAAATGCTTCACACGAAGCAGAAATAGCAAACGTCCCCTCTGGTGGAAGTTTGCTAAGTGTACGGGAGAAGCGCGCCCTGGTCCAGAGAACAGTGCTTGCCTTGGGCGTGGGGCCCTGGGTGCAGGCTGATGTCTGGTTATTTTCATCTAAGGGTCTTCAGAGCAAGTAAGGCCTCTCTCTGCATTCTGGTCCAAGTTCCCTAAGACAGCA